GGTAGACACTGGCGTGGGTGGTGAGTGTCTCATGCGCCAGTTTGCGTCCGGTTGGACGAAGGCCGAAAAGTACATTCGTGCCTTGTCTGTGACGTCAAGAGTTAGGTGGGCGTCTAGCAGAAAGGACCACTACAGACTACCATATTAACGGGCATTCTCATTCACACCGTGTCAGTGCATGAATATCTGCCAGTACGTTCAGAATGCGTAGACTCCCGCATCAACACTCGGACATTAAAATAACAGTTCTTCTATCGATGCACTTGGATTAATAGAGATAATGCTCGTCACTTCGACCTTCCAGGCCCGTTTCCTTGAGGGAATAGAATTCGTGGAAAGGCCAGAGTGGTAGGAAGAGTTTATTCTGTACAGAAGGAATTGAGAATAGGTAGGAGTAGATTTGACTGTCGGACCGCATGTCCAGCCGCGAGGGGTACTAGGTTCGAAGTGCCGGCATGACGAAAATCGCCGCATTAAGGTCTTACTATGTCGGGCTAGAGAGCTAATGAGTAGGATGGATTGAGGCCAGGCCACTGTGGGGGTTCTCGCGTAGTCAGCAGGAGTAATTGGTCGCACGAGCCAGCTTTTGTCCAAAAAAAGTACGAGAACACGTTCCAGCAGGGTTTTAGAAGGCCCAAATAAAGGGTATAAACAGTTCCATTCTAGCGTACCTGGTAGACTCAGACCATGGCGTGGACGCCAGAAAGGCCTTTCGAGTGATCCACAAGGTGCCTTTAAGCTTCTCAAAATTCCTAGTACAGCCTCTGTTAGATACGGTAGAAGCGGCCACCATCAGACTACGCTGACCGGTCCTTTGCGCCGCAGTTGCCATGGCCGAAAGCCGCTAATCCAACAGTCCACACTTCTTTCGGCTATCAGTCCCCCTTAACGCCGATCAGATTATGACACGGATTCCCCACCCTCCACCTCCCTTGATAACAACACTAATTTTTCAACCAACCCGCATAGTTTATTTAGTTAATTATCATATAAATGTAAAGGTCTGACGGCAATTTTACTTTTAGCTTATTTAAGGTTCACTTTTTAGCGACATGTGGTTACTTTTCGGCTTAGAAGCTATTGGAAGTTAATAAATTGAGGTAAAAGGCCTAGCTCTCATTGTTTTGCTTTAATCCCTAAAATTCGATATGGAGTCTATATATGATTGTATCCACTCCGCGGGTACTATTCGATATAAAGTTGACATAGACTCGATATAGGATTGTATCCAATTCACGGGTAATATTGGGCAGTTCTTGTTTCCTGTTTGTTGTATTCTTCATTTTAATCATCGCGCGCCAACCATTAGGTTATTCAAATAATTATTTCTATTATTTTCTAATTTTCTACTCTGTACTTTTTAATTATTTTCTTCGTTCCCTCTGATATGTTCCACCCCTTTTAACCCCTATATCATCGATCTCTTGTAAGAGTACGATGGGGTTTTCGCTTTCTGCAATAAGCCCGAAATGTAATTGTTACCCTTCCCCCCTTCTCATCCTATGTGCTTAGTCACCCTCCGATTCTGTTACTCGCCAAATCACACATCCTCTAAACTAACCAGGTACTTGTGTCAGTGAAAGTAACTTAGCAGTTCTTCCATGCGTTAAAAAAACTGAAACAAATACGACCGCGTAGTTGGTGAAGTAAGTAACAAATGTAGGCACCAATGCGCAGGAAGATGCCTAAAGGATTTTACCTGGAGGAAAAAGGAGAGGGGAGAGTTCGTGAGTCTGAGTCGGAAATGCTGGAGTCCTTGACTTTGTGAAAGAATACCCCAAGCATTTCTGACATTATTGTCATGGCCTACATCTTGTTTGATGAGTCTTGAAATTACTGGCGCCACGCATACCACAATACAAGCGAATACACGAGTCCCAGGAAGTAACTGAAACGAAGAAGATGCGATTGCTTTGACAGGGCTTTTACTCACCTGACGTTTCGACATCCGTCGCAGATTCTTCATCAGAGACACCAGCAGATAACAGTAGCAGAAACGGGTAATAAATGTACAGGAAGTTGCAGTATTTATAGGCTACAGTCATAACTGCACACTAATGACAACGAACGTTAACGATAATTGACCTCTTGTATGTTATTTGCTTGATGACCGGCTTGCGGGGCGTGACCTGATGAAATTTCATCACACGTGGTGGAATTGTCCGTGATGATTGCCCTGCCATCTGGTTCCCCTGTGTTGACGTAAGACGACGTGATGGCCTGTTTGTCCCCCATATGGTGTCTTGCCTTGGCCAAATTGAGCCTCAGCACCGAATATGGATTGAGTAGGCCATTGCACTTGTTTATGGACTGGGGGGCCCGTGAACCATAACTCAAGTACTTCTCGACTCACATGATTGTCACCTCTTGCGAGAATTTCAGCCTCATAACATTTGAATGTGGGACCAGGTCTTATGGAATGAGCCGCAACTTCAGAATTGGCGTCATTGCTCCGCACTGGTGCCGCTTGTTCGGCAATTCGCGTCTCGAGAAGTCTGCCAGCTTCTCCGACGTGATTGCTACGTCCGCAAGTGTATCAGATCATATAGATGACTCCCGATGTTTCTTGCTATGGTAGCGGGTCTTTCGGTTTTATTATCTGACGCCTTATGGCTGCCTCCGGCCTGTGCGCGACTCCAACTCCAAGTGGGGCGAGAGGGCGGCCAACGACCTCCGAGACATTTTTGACGTACGGGATCGCTCTCCAAAATTTGGAGTCGGCGTGACTTTGTTGGGCATCTCGTTTGCGTAGGCACCGGTTGACGAAGTTGCGCGGGTTGCCATTTTCTCTGAACACCAAGCGAAGACAGTGGATTTCGGCAAGTTTGTCTTCTGGTTCACTGCAGTGCGTTTCAACACGCCCATACAGTGTCCTTACGCAACTGCGTTTTTTACTGATAGTATGGTTGTTGTTGTTGAAGTTCCATACTTGCATCGTGTGTGTCGTTTTCCTGAATACGCTAGTCTCTAGGCCACCACAATCGTTGCGCCAGACGAAGACATCAAGCAAGGTCACCGAGGTTGTTCTATTCCTCCTCCATCGTAAATTTAATGTCCGAGAAGACGATGTTGATACGTTTTTTGAATGTGAGCACCTGATTCCGTTTGGTGGTGACGTAGGTAGCATCCACATACCGCGCCCAGAATTTCCGTCTGTGGTGTTGGAACACCAGCGACTCCAACCGCTGTATGAACGCCTCGGCTGTGAGCCCCAAAATCTGTGAACCCATTGGTGTTCCCTTCATCTGTTCGTAGATTGTTCCGTCAAATTTGAGGCAGAACTTCAGGAGCTGTATGATTTGGGGATTTCCCAGGCGATTCTTCGTCTCATCGTATTTGTTTCGTAGGAAACTTTCGATGGTCTCGACCGCTAGATCCTGGGGCAATATAAGTAAAAAAGGATGTGACATCGAAGTAAACCATGATGTTGACGCAAGTTTGTGTGTCGACAAGCAGAAGGTTCCCCAAATCTCAAGTCTGGGAAGACGGAATGAATTCGAACAACTTTATTGAGCACAAATAACTATACGGCGGATGCTGCAAGCGCCGCGTACAATAGCCAGCCGCTTAGGAGCAAATCTGAGGATGTGTCAAATTTAGGCTGCATAATGTGTAATCAATCGGCTGCCGCCAATCGGACGAAGTGGAAGTATCGATTACCTTTGAGTGTACTCGCGTATGAGGCAGCGAGTGGATCGATAACGAGGAAAAAACCGATAGCGCCCGGAGTAGCTGATTAGGCATGGGTGTAAGCCCTGATAGAGCAAAGGCAGAATGACTTGCACAATTTCACTCGGCAGGAGACTTACTGAGGGCCAACCACTTTTAGCCGAATATTACTTCTTAACTCTGGAGAACTCTTTTGGAGATGTTGGTAGAAGGTAGAAGTTGGAGACAAGAGTACTTCCAAGAGCGGCCACCCGACTGACCGTGGAGGTTGCGCCCCAAACATCCTGAGCGAGAACGTTTGATTCAGCCTCAAAGCTGTGATTGGCTAACGTGCACGCCTGTGATTGGCTGAGAACCAGTCTGTCCCTGGTGCGCGCGTGCAATAATTCGACAGAGGCGCTCGATGCAGTCGGAGTAAGGCCATCACCAGGTGTGTAACAAGCATTGATTGCGCTAGCGCCAACCCGACTGGTTCACTGACGATTTTCACACGCGCACTTGCGCTACCGTGCTACCATCAAGCGGTGACGGCGAGCAATTCATGGCAATAGCGAGATGGTAGCCTTACCAGAGGAGTTATCACGCCTAACAGAGTGCTCCTTATGTTTGGGTCCCTGTAATAG